AGGCTCACAAAGCCATTCCTTTATTCAATCATTGTTCTAACCACACCAAACTCCATAGCACTCCCCACCCCTCAAAAATATTGCACTTAATTTCCTCCAGGCCTTTGTTCACCTTGTGGTTATCTCCATTAGCTACTGCCCTTCCCACAACTACTCACCAAAAAAAAATTACTCACCATTCAAGGCCCAGCCTCAAATGATCCTTCCTCTGGGAAGCTTCCATAGCACTTTTTTCCTAGGCTCACAGATAATGTAGTTCAAAACTCTATCATCTATATATATAAAAGCCTAAATGACCATTATGACCAAAGGACCCATCAACTGGTCACCATGATGCACACTGACCACCAGGGACCAGACACTCAAAGCAGGAGCTTCCCCCTTGTGGTCAGTGTGCTCTCACAGCCAACTTCCTGCGGACCCTCCCCCAGGCAGGCTGGCCCAAATTGGTCCCAATCAAGACTGGGCAAGATGGCCTTGATCATGCCTGGACCGGTTTGGCTCAGTGGATAGAGCGTCGGCTTGTGGACTGAGGGGTCCCGGGTTCGATTCCGTCGGGGGCATGTGCCTTGGTTGCGGGCACATTCCCAGTGGGAGTGTGTGTAAGAGGCAGCTGATCGATGATTCTCTCTCTCTTCGATGTTTCTAACTCTCTGTTCCTCTCTCTTCCTCTCTGTGAAAAATTAATAAAATATATTTAAAAAAATATATATATGGCCTTGATCAGCCCTGATCACCGGCCATGCCAAGGGACCCCACCTGTGCATGAATTCGTGCACTGGACCTCTAGAATATATTACAGCCTTGCCTTATTGTATGTCTGATTCCTCCAGTAGATCCCAATCCTGTCAAGAGCAGGGACTTCGTCTTTGTTTTTTAAATATATCCCCAGTGCTTAGTGCAATGCCTTACTCTTTGCAGGAGCTCAGGAACTGTTCATTAAATTAACTTTTAAATAGCCTGGATGTCTAAAAGATATCCTAACATAAATCTGCTGCAAGCATAGTCCTACTCTTCTTGGTGGTTACTTTGTCTTAGTTACTTAGGTCTAAACTTTCTAGGCACTTTACAAATGTTAACTTATTTATTCCTCATCATGGCCCTCTGAAATGAAAACTTTTACAGATGAGGAAAATGAGGCACAGAAAGATAAGAAATTTGTGCAAAGCTATTTAGTTCATAGAACCTAAATCATATCATGTCTCTTCTCTGTTTGAAACACTCCAATAATTCCTCCATTTCATTCACAGTCCAAGCCTAAGGCTTAAAAAGCTATATGTGATCTGCATCCTCCCTGCTCTATTTTCCCCCTAACTAATTTATTTAGTTATTTACTTTATCTCTCCCCAAACAAATTAAGCTCCATCAAAGCAGGCAGGGATTTTTGTCCCCTTCCCCACAGATTTTTTTTTTTCTTTTCTTCTCAGTGCCCAAAACAATGTCTTGAATACTAGGCCCTCTTAAAATAATTGTTGCACAAATTATTCTATTTCATTTACTGTAAGTGAAAACAAATGTTTAAGAAAAGAAGTAAAAATAGGAATCTCAAAATTCCTGAATTTTAGAGGTCATTGTTTGATTCCTGGTCAAAGCACGTGCCCAGGTTGCCTGATGGATCCCCAGTAGGGGGTGATGATGGGTGTTTCTCTCTCATCAGTATTTCTATATCTCTATCCCTTCCTCTTCCTCTCTCCAAAATCAATAAAAATATATTTTAAACAACAAGTTTGTGTACATATACAAACTCCATTTAATGGGTAAATTACTTACTAAAAGAATGAAAATGAAAAGCATCACTTTTTCAAAATATATATTTTTATTGATTTTAGAGAAAGAGGGAGAGGGAGAAATAGAAACATCAATGATGATGAGAGAGAATCACTGATTGGCTGCCCCCTGCATGCCCCCTATGGGGATCAAGCCCACAACCCCGGCATATGCCTTGACCAAAATCAAACCCAGGACCCTTCAATCTGCAGGCCAAATCTATCCAGAGCCAAACCAGCTAGGGCAAAGCATCACTCTTTATTAGCACCCCGCTGGTTAACCAACTGAGCTTAACTGACCACCCAACAAAAACATCACTCTAGTTATTTAAATTACATTTAAAAAACAACACAGCTGAAACCAGTTTGGCTCAGTGGATAGAGCATTGGCCTGCGGACTGAAAGGTCCGGGGTTCGATTCCGGTCAAGGGGATGTATCTTGGTTGGGGGCACATCCCCAGTGGGGGGTGTGCAGCAGGCAGCTGATTGATGTTTTTAACTCTCTATCCCTCTCTCTTTCTCTCTGTAAAAAATCAATAATATATATATATATATATATATATATATATATATATATTTTTTTTTTTTTTTTTTTTTTAAACACAGTGAAAGGGACAGGCTAAAAAGAATAGGTTTTGGGCAACTTAATAGTTTGGATGAAAACAATCTTGGATTCTGCCTGCTACTCTATCTAGATGCCCAAGAACAAAGCACAGACTTTTAGGCAGAATTCTAGCAAATCAGCAACTGTATCAAGATCACTGGAATCTCCCTTGTGTAATACCGGAAAAAACAATTCAGTGACTGCAGTACCTTTAACATTTAAGATCAGGTAAAGGATGTGTGGGAAAGCCCAATGGATATCTGATCAAGAATAATTTTTGTGCTCGCTTCGGCAGCACATATACTAAAAGAATAATTTAAATAAATAATCGCATATCATTTTAAACTATGGCCGATGTCAGTTTCAAGAGCTGAAAGCTATTTCATCTTACTGTGGTTTTTCAAGACTGTCTTTTGAAATTAATGCGCTTCTCGGGTTCATTTGCTCAGCTTTTTAAAATTGAATTGCTCAAAGCCACTGCATTGGGTTTTCCTCTTGATGGAAAAAAAAAAAAAGGATATTCTTTGGCTTATTTATAACATTTTTTAAAAAAATGAATTTTTCCCATATTCACGAGAACATCTAGCTAACTGGTAAACCTGCACATGTCTGGGTTCTTCGGTTTGGGAGTGGAGCCCAGGAACCTATGTTTCAGACCATTCTTTTGAGAACCACTCGACTCTGATATTTTTATATTTTACTATGATATTTTACTATTCCTAAAATATTAACTTTGAAAATCTAAAGAGGAGACAGCTACACTCCGGTGGTTGTCAGCAGGTACAAGAAGGAGCGGCCCACGTTGCATACCGAGTTGCAAAACTTTTCCTCCGTTTGCAGACCTCCAGTCCCTAGGGAGAAAAGCAGTTCATTTTCACCGAGTCAAGAACCGTTTTCAACCAGTTCCGTCCACGTCCTTTTTAAGACGAGCCCCAAAAGCCATGACCTCTTTCTTTCCGCGCCCCAAGTCACAGCCCTGCCCCTCGTGCGCGGGGACCCGGCGCTTCCCGCCACCGGGCTCCCCGGCTCGCCCTATGGGCCGCGTCTTCCCCGAGGCGCTCGGCGCGGCAGGTCTTGGCGCCAACCGGGTGGCGGCGCTGTCCGCCCCACGCGTGACGCCCGGGCCCGAGGGAGGCGGGGGCTCGGCGGGCGGGCGGGCGGAGGAAGGGGCGGGAGCGAGCGCGCGCCCTGCTCTCGCGTGCTCTCGCTCCGCTCGCGCGACCGGCCGGCGTGTGTGTGTGTGCGCGGCGTCGGCGTCGGCTCCGGGGGGCTCGCACGGCCGGGCGCGCGCCGCTGCGAGGGGCGTCCGGGACCCGGTCCGGGTCGGCGGGCCCGGCCGGCACGAGGGGCGGGCGGGCGGGCGCGCCGCAGGGGGGGAGGTTCCGGGCGGACACCCGCGCACACGTTCCCGGAGGAGCCTTCTCTCCTCGGCTGCTCTTCCCCGGCCGGACGGAGAGCGGCAGTGTCTCCCCGCCCAGCGCTCCCTCGCCCCGCGTCTCCCCCCGCGGCGGCGGCGGCGGCGGCTCCTCCTCGGCACCGCCAGCCCCAGCGCCGCTCCGGGGCGGGAGGCGGCGGCGGCGGCGGGACCCACGGAGCCGCTTTGTGTGCAGCCCGGCGGCGAGGGGCGGCGGCGCAACCACCTGACAGAGGCCCGGGCGCTCGATGCACCTTCCGCCCGCATGAGGAGGAGGAGGTAAAGGCGGCGGCGGCGGCGGCGCGGCTCCCGCCCTAGGCTGGCGGAGGGAGGGAGGGGACGGAAGGGGGAGATCGGAGGGAGGAGGGGGTGAGGGCGCGGGACCGAGGCCCGGCGGGGCCGCCCGGAGGTGCCGGGGAGGCCTTGGGAGGCGCGGGACGGCGCTCCGGGGCCGGGGTTCGGCCCAAGCCGCTGGGGTCCCTCCGCCTAAGTTGAAGGAACAAAATGTGAAGTGCGGGGCCGCGTCAGCCTCCCCTCGGGGCGGAGGGGAGGCTTGTTTTCCCCTCCCGCGGGGGTGGGGAGCGGGGCCGGGGCGCGGCGGGGGCGCCGGGGGTCCGGAAGCGCGGCCCGGCCCGGGCGATCGTCTCCCGGAGCCGCCGCTGCGTGCGGGGCCGGCCGGGTCCCTTAGTTTTGCGGCCTAAGCCGAGCCCTCTAGGCCTCGCGTCTCCTCTCCCGAAGGCGGGTGACCGGCTTGTGCGGGGACCCCGCGTTCCTCTCCGGGGGAGTCGGGGCCTCGGGGGGCCCTCGCCGGACTCCCGAGGCCGCCAAACTTCGGGCCTCGGTGCCTGGGAGGTGGATTTCATTGTGAAGGAGGGAATGGGGGAACTCCAGGCGCTGCTCGGCGCTTCCCCTCCCCGGGCCGCAGCGGCGGCTGCCGGGGAGCCCCGTGGGCCCGGGGAATGGGGGGCCCGCGTGGGTGGAAAGGGGGTGACGGGGGTCGATCGCCAAGCACCCAGCCCCGGGAAGGAGCGGGTGGCGGGGCTGCTGCCGCCGCGTCCCCGGCCTCCCCGGGAGAGAGAGGGCCCTTTGCAGATGAGAGATTTTTTGAAATGAAAAAAAAAAAAGAGGTTACAAAGTCGCCCCTTTCCCGCTGAACTTTTGTTTTCTGACCGATAGAGGCCGGTAGAGGACTGTGAGAGGAAAGTTGTCCCCCAGGATGGACTTCGCGGCGCAGCCCAAGCCCGCCGCTGCCCTCTGCGGCGGGGTGGGGGGTGCCGCCGACGGGAAGATCGCTTACCCTCCGGGGGTCAAGGAGATCACCGACAAGATCACCACGGACGAGATGATCAAGCGCCTGAAGGTAAGCCGTCTGGGCGGGCGGTGTGCCCACCTTCCTAGGAGTGGTGTCCCCGCTGCTAGGCCTGCCTTAGTTTCACCTACCAGGGGCTTCTCTAGATAGTGGATCGCCTTCTCCTTAATCCCTTTTTCAAGGTATTGTTCCCTCTTAGCTTATCTTTGTTTTTCTGTGTTTTTTGTTTTTGGCTTATCTTTGAATAATAAGTTGCTGGGGTGGGGGGACATAACCATTATGAGACATGAAAAGGAGTGTTATGGGTATGCTTTTTAATCTTACTGGGTGGTTTTGGTTTTTTTTTAAGCATAAGAATTAAACTTTTAAAAATTTTCACCCCGAGAAATACGTATGAGAATACTGTTCAAATAGCTTGCAACCTTAAATGTAGGTAATAATTAGTCTGAGAAGTGCCATTTTCATCAACTTCTGATGAGACTTGAGTTAGGTATGAAAGGTATTTTTTTTTTTTTAATTGTCACAATTTTCTAATTTCCACAAAGGTTAGTGTGTATATAGCATGGTTAAACTTTGACAGAAGGTACTGACCTCAAAATTCAGGCTTGAAGTAAGGTGATGTTTTAGGTCCATGTGTTCAAAGGAGTTGTAAGAAAAAGTATTATGGCTCCTTTTATAAAGAATCATTTTTATTTACTTTAGCAAGGGGAAGGGAAGACCTTTTTTCCTCCCGAGGGCCATTTGGATATTTATAACATCATTCGTGGGCCATACAGAATTATCAACTTAAAGATTAGCCCGCTATATTTGCTCAGACGTTTAATTAACTCACCGCCAATGCCTTGGCAGGGCCAGACCAAATAACTTCGGCCGGACGTTCTCCACCCCTGGGTTAAAGCTTGGTGGTCTTCAAGTCCAGGGTTTAAGTTTCAGCTTTATGTTGGTCAGTTTTTTGCTGTGTTGCATGACTAGATTGTGGCCACAGCCTTACAAAATAAGTTCCATTCTTGTTAAGGGATCAGCTTGATGCAGTAGTTCTCAATCAGGACATCTTTGACCCGGGAGGCCGTTTGCCAATACTAAAAACATTTTTGTTGTCAAAATTGGGGCTAGACTGAAGCAGGGAATCAAGCTAGGAAACTGTTAATAGTAGTCTAGGTGAAAGATATTGAAATCTTGAAGTAGGGCTATGATAGTGGGGATAAAGAAGTAGGAAATGATCCAAGAGACAATTCAGAGTCAGAATCAGAGGTGGTGGGACGGGAGGGAAGAATGTTTCTAGCTTGAGCAACTTGGTGAAATGTATTTTTAGGGAATGATCTTGCCCCTTTGCTCTTAGAGCTTAGTATAGTGCCTAGTAAATGTTTACAATGTTGTGAGTGTTTAAGGGATACTTTAAGTATTCTTTTAGTTCATGTTTAAAATCTAGTAATTTGTTACCTCTTTGGAAGGAATGGGACACAATACCTTCCATTAAAACAACTCTTCCCTGACCAGGTAGCTCAGTTGGTTAGAGCATGGTCCTGAGATGTATGTTTTTTAATATTTTTTATTGATTTTTTACAGAGAGGAAGAGAGAGGGACAGAGAGTTAGAAACATCGATGAGAGAGAATCATCGATCAGCTGCCTCTTGCACACCCCCTACTGGGGATGTGCCTGCAACCAAGGTACATGCCCTTGACCGGAATCGAACCCAGGACCTTTCAGTCCGCAGGCCAATGCTCTATCCACTGAGCCAAACCGGTTTTGGCATGGTCCTGAGATGTAAAATTATGGGTTTGATTCCTGATAAGGGCACATATTGTAGAATCAACTAGTGAATCTAAATAAAAGCCTAAGCAAACGTCTAGTTTGCAGAACAACCACAACGACTAGTCGCTATGATGCACACTGACCACCAGGGCAGACATTCAATGTAGAAGATGCCCCTGGTGGTCTATGTGGTTCCACAGAGGGAGCACTACTCAGCCAGAAGCCGGGCTCAAGGCTGGCAAGTGCAGTGGGGGTGGCAGGAACCTCTCCCGCCTCTGCAGTAGGACGAAGGAACAGTGAGCCAAGCTGTAAGGAGCAACAAGAAGGTGGGCAGTAAGGAGTGAGGGCTTCCGAACTGCAAGAGCGATGCCCCATGCTGGCGGAGGCCTGCTCCCCACTCGGCCTAAGCCGGTAGGCGGACATCCCATCCCCTGAGGGGTCCCAGACTGTGAGAGGGCACAGGTTAGGCTAAGGGATGCTTCCCCCACCCCCAGTACACAAATTTCATGCACTGGGCCTCTAATGAATAAAAAAGTAGAATAACAAATCTCCCTCCGTTCATCCCACTCTAAAAGTCAATAAATAAAAATTAAAAATATAAATAATGATACTAGAGATTATATATGAAGGTCTTATTTGATGTTTCTTTTTTCAAAACAAGTTGTTTTGATGAAAAAAAAATGCAGTAGTTAGCGATTGAAAGTTATTTCCCAACAAAATACTACATACCATAAAAGTAATGGACAATTTTCCTACAAATGAAAGCGAAGATCTTATTAGTTACTGAAACCACACATAATTGGGTTCCAACTTCAATTTTTCTTTTTAAATTTAATAAATCTTTATTGTTCAGGTTATTACAATAGTTTCTCCTTTTTCCCCCATAGGTCCCCTCCACCTGGTTCCCATCCCACCCTCTGCTCTTACCTTCCTCCTCTGTCCTCATCCATAGGTAAACAATTTTAGTCCAGTCTTTTCCTGCACCTCCCATAACCCTTCCCCCGCTGAGAATTATCAATCCACTCCCTTTCTATACCCCCGATTCTATTATATTCACCAGTTTATTCTGTTCCTAAGATTTTTTTAATTCACTTGATTTTTGGGTTTTCTTGTTGATAGAAATGTATTTGCTGTTCATAATTTTTTATCTTTACTTTTTTCTTTTTCCTCTTCTTAAAGAATACTTTTCAGCATTTCATATTATACTGGTTTGGTGGCAATGAACTCCTTTAGCTTTTTCTTATCTGTGAAGCTCTTTATCTGACCTTCCATTCTGAATGATAACTTTGCTGGGTAGAGTAATCTTGGCTGTAGGTTCTTGCTATTCATCACTTTGACTATTTCTTGCCACTCCCATCTGGCCTGCATAGTTTCTGTTGAGAAATCAGCTGACAATCATATGGGTGCTCCCTTGTAGGTAACTGTTTTTCTCTTGCTACTTGTAAGATTCTCTCTTTGTCTTTTGCTCTTGGCATTTTAATTATGATGTGTCTTGATGTGGTCCTCTTTGATTTCCTTTTGTTTGGGGTTTTGTGCACTTCCTGAACTTGTAAATCTGTTTCTTTCACCAGGTGGGGGAAGTTTTTAGTCATTATTTTTTGAAATAGGTTTTGAGTATTTTGCGCTCTCTTTTTCTGGCACTCCCATAATTCTGATGTTGGAATGCTTGAAGTTGTCCCAGAGGCTCCTTACACTATCTTCAACTTTTTGGATTCTTTTTGCTTCTTTGAATTTCAAATCTCTTGACTTCATTCTTGTGTTCCTCTAGTCTACTGTTGGGTCTCTATAATATTTTTTATTTCAGTCAGTGTATGTTTAATTTCTAGTTGGTCATTTTTCATATCCTCGAGGGTCTAGCTAAATTTATCGGCCTTTTCTAGGAAATTCTTGAGAAACCACCTAACTGTGGATTTGAATTCTATATCCAGACGTTTGTTTTCCTCCATTTTTTTGTTTGTGATCTATTACTTTGTCTCTGCATTTTCGCTGCCTCCCTGAGTTGGTAGGGTAGCTTTGTGTGCTAGATTTCCTATATGGCCCAGTGGGTCAGCCTCTCCAGTTACTGAGGTGGACACTCTTAGTGCACCCCTTTGTGTTCTGTGTATACAGCCTTGTTGTAGTTAGCCTCTTGCTTGTTGGTATCACTGGGAGGAATTGACCTCCAGGCCAATTGGCTATGCGTATCAACCGTGTGTACTCCAGGAGACCTGTGCTGGAGACAGCCTTATGGGACCAGACTTACAAAAGTTTCTGTGCTCAGCTTGGATGGGGCAGAGTCTCAGAATTGAGCAGACAGTTTTGGCTTCCGGTCAGCCCTGTCCTTGTGCGCGCGCGCCTCCAGATCTCTGCCTTCCGTGGCTCCCCTGAGTTTCCACCTGATAGTCCAGATTCCCCCAGGCTTGCCCGGAACTGGGGTTCAGTGCAGTTGGAACTGGGGGTTCAGTGCAGTCAGAATTTCTGACTCCCTTCTGCTAGGAAGAGCTAGTGGCAACCTCAGCAGTCAGTTTTCTCTGTGTGCATTCACGTGTGCATGCCCAAGACTCCAGACCCCTGCCTACCACAGCTTCCCCGAGTCTTCATGTGCCTTTCTCTCTACCTGATAGTCCAGACTCCCCCCATATGAGCCTGGGTCCAAGAGGTTTCACCCAGAACTGGGGTTAAATGCAATTGGAACTGGGGTTCAGTGTAGTCAGGGGCTTCCTTTCCTTTCCTGCCAGAGAACGCCAGTCAGGCACTCAGTCACCCTTCCTCTCTGTGCACCTGTCTCTATACCTCAGTCCTTTGCAGGTCCTCTTGATTCTCTGTGTGTTTTCCTCTTTCCTTCTAGGTGTAGAATTTTCACTCAGCCAGCTTTCCTGTGGTTCTGGATGATGTCCGTTCTGTCTTTTAGTTGTAGTTTTGAAATTGTTGTGCCAGGCTGCAGTTTAGGTATTTACCCATGTGGATGTCTTGGTTTCCCCCAACTTCATTTTAATCGATGTTTCTTAAGGTTATATTGAGTGTTTTCAGATGCTGAAAAATTATGAAATATAAAACTTAAGTAAAAAAATGTATGGATTTTTATTGTATACATATTAAGAATATTAAAACTTGAAGTGTAGTAATGAATATCTGGTTTAAAAGTTATAACTACCAGTATGTGTTTTCTACTTGAAAATAGATTAAATATCAGAAATACTGTTAACCACAAAAGGACATAGATCCAAGGCTAGAATGAGCATTGGGTTAGAATATTCATTATAAGTTATTTTGGAAGTTAAAATTGACATATATATTCACTAATTTGAATGTCCCATGC